TGTTATTATTATTGCTATTATTATTAGTTATTGTTGTTGTCATTATTATTGTTGTTGTCATTATTATTGTTGTTGTTATTATTATTACCATTATTATTGTTATTATCATCATCATTATCATTATTATTGCTATTACTATTACTGAATTGTATTAACCGACGTGAAAAACCTTACGCTGCTAGTAGTACCAAAATACACCATTACTGTTATATTATTAACAAACAAAAAAGCATTTACCATTGTTGCAGCAAGTACTGTGCAGTCTGGATAGCAGCCGGAGTGCCGGTGATCGTAATGATACGTTCGCCAGAATCCTGGTGCGGTCCGACAATAATCTGAGCGCCCGATTCCTCGCGCACCCGGTTAATACGCTCACCACCTTTACCAATTATCGTGCCACCAAGCTCATTCGGTATTGTAACCTGAAGCAGTGAAAAGGGGGCGCGTAATGTCAAGAATGTAAGTGGATATTTGAGAGAGATGATGGGAAAATCTCAAAAAGACACCATTTTCAGTTGGAACGACAACAAATGGAGCTGTCTTTCGAAGGGCAGGATCAACTGCTTTTCTTAACACACACATTTCAGAAAAGTCGCTGAGCTTAGGTACTCAATACTAACATAAAAAAAAATTACAGAAATCGCAGCAAATCGCGATGAAACAGCTGGACTCAAGAACCCCTATAAGCGATTCACCGAATGTATGCATAAATGGAACATTAAAAAAAGGCAGTAACTGTGGTTTAGCACAAAAATCAGGATAACTGGGCAGGACAATGGTAATATTTGAGATGAAATTAAAATTGCCGGGCCTTGGTGGCTTACGAAAAAGACTGTCCAACTCAGGTGGAGCTCAACTGAAAGGTTGTAGAGCAAACAGCAAGGTCAGAGAAGGGCAAGCAGAAACAAACTGAGCGACCCGGATGCGATTTTCCAAAAAACGCACAGTTTGCGCCGAGCATTCTACAAGTATGTCTGCCATTTCTCAACATTTATTACACATAAAAGTAATTTAAACATTTCTTGCGTCTCAACAGATCTTTCAAAGCAAAAAAAAAACCTGAGTGCTCTCTTCATGGCCCATGAATGGTACAGCAACATCCGAAAGAGGACCACGACCAACAATCGGCTGACCCAGATTTCGTCCAAACGGCATATTCCCATAGCCAGCTGCCGCAGCCGCCATTGCTGCAGCTCCTCGGACCATCGGGCCACGGTAATTACGATCCGGCGGGTAGCCACCGTAATCAGCCGAGTAGCTCGGATCATAAAACATCGACTCGTACGGTTTTGTTGGTCCTTTGATTGGAATCTAAAAAAAACGCGGAAATGGTAACTTCTGGCCGAAAATAGTTAGTTAAATTGAAGAGCTGCTAAATGCCGGTACCGCAAGAGTGTTGTGGACCGGCTATACATCCCTCGAGAACGAGGATTTCTGGGATTTGAATTCCGGGACCGTCGAGATTTTTAGTGATACTCCTCAGATACTAGTGGAATACGCTCACAAATCAACGAGAGCCCCTGTCACCTCCATACCATCATGATTGTACACCACTTTGCTGGTCGAGTGCATTCGTTTCGCAGGAATATCACCAAAACGCGGTGTCCGTCGGCTCTTAGCAAAGCTAACAACGTCATTCGTTCGTCCGGAAGAGCAGTTTGACAACAATAACAGCAGCTTATTCTGCCTTCTCCCCCTCCTGGTTCCTTTTCATGTTTCCATGACCAGTATTTCGTTTTCAAGTGGCCAGCCGGCTGTGATTACTGCGTTTGCTTTCCTGCCGTTCTTCATTCCTCAAGAGATTGTTTGTCTCTTCGCCTGCTTCGATCTCGCATTTCCTCAGTTCATCTGATAACAATCCTTTTCCCATGTTCTTCCGAAACAGTCATCTTCTGTATGGGTTTTACAGTCCTCTACTTTACTTGTTATTCCTCGGCCCACCTATGCCCGCAAATGACCACCACGCATTTACTACAACCCGATATTCCAGGTTGGAATGACTATCGACACATAGATAATCGTGGATTAGTCTCACCAACGTATCGACACATAGATAATTGTGGATTAGTCTATTGTAGAACATTTATACTCTAAGATAGCCAAACTTAAGTCAGCAATATCCGGGCTAGCATTACCTCCCATGGGTATCGATACATAGATAATCGTGGATTAGTCTATTGTAGAATATTTATATTCTAAGATAGCCAAACTTAAGTCAGCAATATCCGGGCTAGCATTACCTCCCATGGGTGCTTCTTTTATTTGTTCAAATATTTTACCTGGCTGTACCTCCACGGCCCTTTCTTTTCTTTTTATTTCAGAACAATACGACCCCAAAATATGCCATCGATATGGCTACTTTTTAAAAGAACTGTTACTTTTTAATGGATTCCAAGCATTTAACCGTACTGAAAGTGGGCTAGACTGAAGATGATACAAAAATAATACAGGTCAAATTGTACCTCTTTGAGTATTTCGATGATGTGGTTCAAGCACTCTATCACTTTCTGCGGTGGCCCTTTAATCTGCACAACACGTTCGGTGGACTGCGGCGGACACTGCGCAAACACCTGTAATACATTCACGAATTACAATTAAATGAACTGATGCATGTCAGCGACCCATCGAATCATCCTACTAAAAACCAAAACTTTTTGATAGATTCAGAAATTCTGATGAAAGAAAAAAGGCTTATGCTCGAAGCCAAATAACCAATGCAGAAACTTGAAGAATTCGAAAAAAAAGACATAAACAGTAATAAGATCAGAGAATTCGGCGAGAAAACTCGCGAACGCAGAATTTCAGTAAAAACGAGAGGAAAAAACAAGTCCCAAAAAACTTCTGTTTTACCAATTTTTAAAAAAAAATGAGAAAATGTATGTCGGTGATAAATCCCAGCGCTCAAGGTGGCGTGCAAAGGAAGCACATCGTACTAAGTTGGCATTCTTTACCAAGATTATCAAGGTTGCCTGATGAAGCTGGTGCAAACCAGATGGTTAAAATTGCTGCAATTTTGTTTTTAAAAAATCATCGAAAATCCAGGCAATGAGTGCTCCCTGTTCAAGTTTCAAGAAACTAAAGCATAGTGAGGAATTTAACATGACACATGGATTTTAATAAATTTAAGCGCACCTTCATCTGTATGCCAAACTCCTCTTTCATCTCTTTGATCTTCACTCCCTGTCGTCCAATTACTGCGCCAGCATGAGACGAATGCACAAGGAAACGAAGCTCTGCTGGTCGGTTCGGATCACCAGCACCTCCATCACGAACCTGCAGGAGACATTGTTCGTACTAATAATACACTAATAAATACCTTTACAGGTAACTCTCTGAAATTCCTGGACTGAATATGGAACCAACACTAATTTTGCGGATGGTTTTACATCAAATTTACTTCATACTTACACACTGGAACTTTTATCTTTACTTTACCTACACTAGTTTCAATAACATAACTATTTAAACTCAAATCCATACTAATTACCACAGTTGCCGTACTGGCGAGGTCCAATTGTGGTAATGGTAAGAAATGTATATGACTTAATGAACCGAAACATTTCTTACCACACAATTTAATATATTTCACAATATTTTCCAAATTTTATTAATTCCTCAATACTATGTGGTCCTTCTTCTTCCAACTTTAAAATATTTTTATTATTCTTCAAATTCAAACTGCTGAAAGTGCAGCAAAAGCAAATCCTGTCCAACAACTGCAGTGGCTCATCATGTGAGTGACAGACAGAAAAAGAAGGCTAACCTCATCGAGTTTGGGAATAATTTCGGTAACAATCGCAAGCACATTTTCCACTGTCGCAACGATTGTCGCAATTCTAAACAACGAACACAGTGTATTGGAAATATTCGGATCCATGTGCCAATATCATAATATATGCATAGAGTTACAACAAAAGTTAACCGGGAGTATCAGCCATGGGGAGTTGATCCGGCATCAACTGCTAGCGGAACTATGCTACCATTTTTCAGCCAAATTTGAAATTCATCCATTCAAAATGCAAAAGAAATACCTCGCTGCTCAATTATGCTCGTATATCTGAGTTTTCATATACTACTAATACTAAGATATTTCAGGCAATCGGCGGGGCAACCTTATTTTGGCGAATTTTACTAGGATCCTAGGCCACATCAAGTGAAATTCAATTATGTATCAAAAAAAAAATCACACGTCTTTTAATGAGTATTTTTGCAACTGCACATAAAAATATTTGAGAATTTTGATGATAATTTTGAATTTGATAATAATAATAATTCGGAATGATGATAATTTATATTGATTA